GCAAAATTAGAAAATTATGTTGCTGCCTTAAAAAAGAAGAGTGAGAGTGTGGTCCACCTGCCTGAGGCAGTAAAGAGACAAGGACGTAAACAAAGTTCTCTTATTAGCAAGTATTGCTAAAAACGTCTTCAGCCCGCCCTATCGTTGGACCTAAGTGAAGAATGATTATAAAATTTATTACCGAGTATAACGTCAAACCTAGTTGACGATATCACTCTGTGTCTGAATCGAAAACTCACTTATCGTATTTGGCCAGGCCTTCTGTTTGGTTATTAGTTGAGGTCATGTATGACATTTCTGCTATGTAGCACTTTGTGATGGCCAACGAGAAGGCTATAATGATGAAGAAAAATTGCACAAGAACAATAAGCAGGTCAATAAGCATTCGAACCAATGCCAGTTGTAAAGGACCTACAACTGAATTTAGCTCTAAGATGCTGGAGAAGCGCAAAACCAAGAGCATCGTGTTGACACCGTAAAAGTAGTTAACAATTTCCAGCAAACGATTGTGGTGAGGATGAACACCACGTGCCATGGTCACTACACGCAGGATCACGATCAGGACGTAGATAAGAAGGGTAATAACATCAAGGTAATTCCACATGTCCCTGCAACGGAAGAAATTTTGTGAATGAAATGTAAATGTAAAGAACTAACAGTGATGTAATATGGAATAGTTTTTAGTAAAGTCTTCCGGTCGAGTATCATAATAGAGTCCGGTTTCAGAACCATAAGCTGATGTATGTCCTAGAGAGATAAACTCCTGCCACCAAAAAAAAAGGAAGACAATGGTAACCAGCTGACAACACATTCAAAATAAAACTGGCATATCTTACTTAAAGTATTTTAACGGTGACGCTTTGAATTCCTGTCGCTCACGAACGACCAAGCTAGCGAAGAAAACAAATATCAAGTATTCCTCGAGCCTTGGATAAACGGTAGAAGCCAAGATGCAAACACGGACGTGAAGGGCAATAAAAACCACCTGATTGAGCTTGTCTTTTACGAATATGACCAGAGGTGTGGTAAAGAAACTGAGGTATTTGTCTGTTGAATAAAAAAACCAAGAGGTAGACGTTAGTCTCGCTCTTTGATGTGTTGAACTCTGAAGATGACTATGTCCAAAACTCTCAACTTATAAAACCGATTCTTCAACTGTTGTAAGAAGTATTAAAGTCCACATTTTGCTGGGGTTTTTTTTGTCAAAAGTTTTCAGTTTGATCTATTACCGTATATTGTATTGTCTTGCATTATATTTCTAATCTTCTGTTTAACGACTATTTAAAGCATTTCTGTTGTTATATATACCCAATTCTTATATGTTATATATACCTAATATATCCTGCTCTAGATCTGATCTTTCATCATTCAAGGGTCCAAGTTCACTGCTTTCCTTTGCAGTATCCAAAATCTTTCGCCTCTGTCAAAAACGAAAGCAGAATTAGAACGAATACTGACTTCCTTTGTTTTAGACTATAAGTATCTGGATACCTTCTTTTGGTCCCTGTAGGAGGCATATGCAATGATTGGAAGCAGAAGTGGAGCCAAAACTGTATCTATCAGAATCAACAAAAACAGCAGGCTTCGAAACTTTCCATAGGGTTTTAAAACATCGGGTAAACCAAGGTTCCACCTCATGATGAGCCGTTTGTACAATAATGGGTGTGCAACAAACTGCAGGTAAAGATCGCAAATAAAGATAAATAAGGTGAGAAGAAGATGGTTGACTTAAATCATTTTTGGTGATGATATCTCTTTCAAAATTCGATCTTCTTCTATGAATGTTCACTTTACTTTTTACTCGTCGCATTATTGTGGAGTAATCGACCATTGTAATGTGACTATGATGTAATCTGTGGTCAATGGACAGTGTGAAGAATCTGCATGGCACGTTTTATCGGTATCAAAAGGGGGAAAGCAAGTATGGTTTTTCGAAAAGCATTCAAAGATGCTGTCAAGTGACTTTGGACGAGTGCATGGGGAATTTTGAACGTAAGGACATATGTAATGCATCAGTCAATTTCAGCAATCCCCAGCCCCTGTACCATAACCGGGCATTTGCTCAAATCTTAATCCCTGGGCTGGGCATTTGGAGTTTTATTATTAAGCGGGAACTGGTTGTTTGTCTACCCACGGGACAACCCCAGAACATTTGGTACCCTTGTGGTTTTGGTCTCGCATGTGCGAAGAATCTTAAAGATTGGACTAGGATTGTTAAAATAGATAGTATGTACTCTTACTATGGTGTGGTGCTCTTCAAGCAGGAGTGTTTTAAGGTTTCAGCAGATGGAAATAAAAGGACTACGCTAAGCACAAGGGCCGTTCTTCTTACCTTTCTTTGCGAGTGGATAATTGCATCATCAGTCATGTCGCTTAGCATTGAAGCATAGCGATCAACGTGTTCAGGCAGGTCTTTTATAACCAGCTCCTCTTTTGCAGTCACCTGATCAATAAGCTGTACAGCGAAGTCTTCAGTCTGGTCTGCAAGCTTTTTTAAGAACTCAGTGTTCTCTGTGTAAGTATCAGCTAGCTTTCGCAGCGTGCGGCTTACCTTAGATCAGTTGTTACAAAAAAAATCGTAATTAAAAAATACATAGCTTTTTCTCAATTTTCAGCAACATTCTTGTGGTTAAATCTTGCATGTTATAGATACCGTCTGTGTAACTGGTAGACTAAAGTAACTGATTCCTCTAGGGGTCATGGACAACGAGTTTGAAACTCATATCTCGTACGTAGTTGTGTCTATAATGGTTACGAACACAGCTTTATCACTTCAGTACCCCTCTTTTGATCTGAACTTTACTGGCTATCAGTGAAACAAGAGGAACGTGAGAAAGATGTACAGGGATGAATGCTTTAGATAATCTTAAAGTTTTCATTATTGTTATTACCTTAAAACCCATCACAATGGGATCTCTACAAGAACACAAATGCTTGGCAGTGACAATTTTCCTGATGTCATCAACATTCCAGTGTTCTCCTGTATGACTCTCCTCGCTGTCTAATAGTTCCTTTAACGCCTTTTCTTCTGCCAAAAGAAAACTTTGATGCGAAGTTTGGAAACGTGAAACCCGATCAAAATATCTTGATGTGGGAAAAGTTATGTTTATGAGTGTGCGGTTTCCTACGTTAATCCATTAATGTTTACATGATGTGTTAGTGTTGGCCACTAAACTTAGCCATAAATGATAATTGCTATACCTCCCAACTCAAATGCGTTTTCACCCCGACTGGACTTTATTTAAGTGTCGATAAGTATTTAGCTCTAAGCTGAGAGCTAATAGGCGACTTGCACGTGATCAGGTCGTGCTCCTTGAAACTGCTCCTTGAAACTCCTTGAAAATTTGCGAGCCAGCCGGCCTCAAGCAAACTATTTCTTCTCAGTTTTTTTTATTTTTTATTTTTTGAGCTGGGAGGTATAAAAAAACACTTAATGACTGGTCCCGCGGGAAACAGTGAGTTTTGGTTCCCCTCGACCTCAATGTTCCCCAGAGTCTCGGGTTTCCATGGGCCAGTCATTAGTGCTTCTTCTCGACCTCGTATTACTGAGTTTCTAGCTCTCTGATTGCTTCACTGAATCGAGGACATGATTCATTATCCCTGAGTTTGACCTTGCATGAAAAATGAGTGCGACATGCAAGTGTTACTTAGCTATAAACGTTTCGGCGTCAAGCGAAAGTTCCGACGGAAAAAAAATAGCTGAAAAGAGTAGTT